ACCTGCTCGTAGATAGTTCCGTTGAAGGTAAAGTACGTCTTGAGACAGTACTTTAAGAACTGGAAGATTTGGGCAGAGTTAACACATCAGTTGGCAAGATTTCAGTCACGGCACTCAGTGCCTCGTAATGGATCAAGACACATCAAATTTATCTCAGAGAATGCTATCAGTATCGGTACCATTCTCCTATGTCTTGTATGCACTAGTCGGCTGTCTCAGTCTGCCAAAAAAACTTGAGATTGAGTGTAGTGCCTGACCCAGCATGAAGGTCTAAGCCTACGACATGTCATAAGCCCACCCAACAGCATTTAGGCGTACGAGCAAATTCGGTGCGACCTGCCAGACAGATGCCATGAGCCAATTTGATTTCCGTTTTGGTTCAGTGCACCTGCAACGCAGTCTGGCTGGTGGGTGTAGAATAGTCTAGCACAGAAGGATTAGTTTATATGTGTAAGTTTATATACGTAAGGTAAAACTAACAGTGTCTGCGCAGTGTAAACGAGCGGTGGCCTCGGACAAACGCACTAGACTCTCCAACTGACGCACAGTTATGCGCCACGCCGATTTGGAACCAGATGAGGCGTCACGCTGACGAAGTTTCTTGTACTCCTCGACCATACACTGCATTGCTTCAACGCTAATCTAAAGCGAAATAAAACCCGCATTAAAAGGGTTGAGATTTTGCAAATTGTGTTAGGTTAAGGGATTTTACCTTGGGCTTAAAACAGCGGGCAAATGCAATATAGCGACGGATCTCATCAGCGGTGTATGATTTAGCGAGGGAAGGACCATCAAGACCCATGTGCAAATCGATGATCGAACGGGCAATAGCGTAGTCTACAATCTGCAGGGACATTACTGTGATAAAGAATGAGTTACGTCATTGCATTCGTCAACAAGGACGAAGAAGAGGTCGAATCGAGACATGACGGGTGCCGACATGCCGATATTTTGACGGAGTGAACGGGAACGGTCGTATCTTCCACCTACTGGATTGGCAGCAGCGAGGATCGAAGTTCTCGCGTTGAGTGTGGCTTTGACTCCGGCTTTCGTTATACTGATAGTCTGTTGTTCCATAGCCTCGTGAATGGCAACTTGATCGCGTATTTCCATCTTGTCGAATTCGTCAATACAACAAACACCCTTAAAATGCATTAGAAAAGAAAAAGCAAGACGTGTCAGGCCCAAAT